CTCTCTCTCTCTCTCTCTCTCTCTCTCTCTCTCTCTCTCGCTCTCTCTGCCCCAGAAAATGCAAAGGAACAAGAGAAGGAAAAAAAAATGCTATTGTGAGATAGAGAGGATGCATCCCACTGTACTATAAATAACCCAGTCAAACTCTGTGTTGCTAAGGCTGGCTCAGCAGCCGCTCTTTCATCATTCCTCACCCCTTACTCGCCTCTTTCACTGCCTCCGCCTCCTCCCTCCTCTCATTGCTCCTTCCCTCACTCCCTCTCTTTCTCACTCCCCAGTCACAGAGGGAAATGCTGTCAATATTCTCATGCTGTAATGCTGAATGCCTGATGTGCTCCTGTCCCCTCCGTTGAGCTGAGGAGGAAGAGATAGTACAAAGTCTGTAAGAAACCCCCATCTGCTTCAGGCAGAGAAGCAGGTGTTTCCCCTGATACAGATGGATGATTGGAGATGGAGGTGTTGTCACAAGTAGTGCAGGATCCAGTCGAGATTATGTTTAGTCTTGTTTTCAACCTAATGTGACACCTGATGTGCCTGCAAGTCAGTTAGTACACTTAAAAAAAAAAAAAGCTTTGAAGGGTGGAAGGGCTTCTCTTGATTCTGGTGTATTTCGATATCCATTCATGAACTTGAGTAAAAGCAAGATCGAGCATTTGATTTTCACACGGACTTGTGGAGGAGGAAGCGCCATCTGCTGGTCAAAATAAAAAAATGAAAATACTACTAGACGTTTGAATGCTTCTCTCATTGCCTTTCAGCCGAAGGAAGCAAAGGAGGAAGATGAGAGAAGAACAAAGGACCTGTCGGAGGACGAGGTGTGGACAAGGATAGAGGAGTATAACGCCCAAGTCTCTGAAAATGGCATGAAACTGGTGAGTTTTGAGCTATTGTTGTAGCTGCTGAGTGTACTGTGTAATATAATGTCAAACTAACAATGCAACTACATTTTTTTACAACTTCCTTGCTTTCTTTTGATGAATAGAAAGAGGAAATTGAGCTGGGACATAATGTAAAACAATATATACAAAAGTAGGAACACAAATAAGTTGTTAATGAGTGAGATAAGAGCAGTGAGGTATTGATTTGACGTGCAGGGAAGTCACCATTAAAGATGCATGCTTTCATCATAACAATGTAACTTCTATATACATTTACATGTTTTAGTTTTTTCCATTGATAAATACGTAACGATTTGGAAATCATCCTGAAAAACCAGTGGTTCCATGTTGTTGTGACTTTAGAGGAATAGTTTGATATTTTAGGAAATATGGTTATTGGCTTTATTGACCACACATAATTCTTCTTTCCAGTCCTGCTATAGTGCACATATCAACACCGATATGTGCCTCCACTCTCTTATCGTCTGCCTCTTTCTCTCTGTGCGCTCAAGGCTTCAGACGGATTCTACACAGGCTTCATCAAGGTCCACCTGAGGCTCAGTCGACCAGTCACAGTCCCCGATGTGGAGGCGGCGAACTCGGAGGGAGAGTCCAGGCAGACGGCTGGCCGCACTCAGGCACCGTCAGAGGGCCAGGAAGGGACGGACTGTGGGCAGAGCGAAAAGAGGACATCCTTCTACCTACCATGTGACTGTGTGAAGCAGCTCCACATCAGCTCTCTGAACACCACCAGAGAGGTCATCCAGGGCTTGCTGAAGAAGTTCATGGTGTTGGACAACCCCCGCAAGTTCGCTCTGTACAGGCAGACGCACCGCGACGGACAGGGTGAGGAAAAGACGCCCAGTTACTAGATCACCTGCAGAAGACGTGTGTAATACAGAGCATTGAATGATCTTTGTGCTTTACCCCCCCCTCCAGATCTGTTCCAGAAGCTTCCTCTGTATGAGCATCCTCTTCTTCTGAGGTTAATAGCCGGGCCTGACCCAGATCAGCTCAGCTTTGTCCTGAAGGAAAACGAGACTGGAGAGGTGGAGGTTAGAAAACACACATATTTACCTTTATTTATCTCACATTTTTTACATGCTTTAATTGCCATGAAAGTGGAATTATACAGGCGGCTGAGGCCAATTCCTTTTTCTTAGACAATCATATGAGGCTAGTAGCAGTCTAATAATGTGTGTTTCTCATTCTCCGACAGTGGCATGCGTTCTCTGTTCCTGAGTTACAAAACTTCCTGGTAATCCTGGGGAAGGAGGAGGCGGAGCGTGTCCGGACAGTGGCGCAAAAATACGCTGCGTACCGACAGAAACTACAACAGGCCCTTCAACAACATGACCCCTGACCCCTTCACCTGTTAAACCTTACGACTTTAACCCAGGGAGAGACTGACTCTTTGAACGCCGACCCCCTCAAGACCCGTAATCTATTCAGAGACTGGAGCCAGAGCTGATCTCGTCTTTCACCCTCCACACACATATACGTCCAAACATACAGTATATCCACACACAGATGCATTCCCTTTCTCAGGACGCATACAAGCCCCCCCCCCCCACACCCACCCAACCACCACCCACACATCCACTCCCCGAGGAGAGAATAAGGGGTTGAAAGCGACATGAAAGGCTACAGGGTGTGTGGTCAGATAGCTGACACACACAGAAAGATCACAGCAACACAAGATCTGAAACTACAACTTGAGATCTCATTCGGGACTGATATGAATCGGTAGTGTTTTTAAAGATTCCCTCTTCTTCTGCTACTTCTGCTGCTGCTGCTACTGCAAGTGTTACTTATGCATGAGTGTATTTCAGCTCAGCCCCCTGCACATAGAGCTAGAAGTAAAAACGGAAGGCATGATTTCTTTTGGATGGAAGGACAATCATACTGAGGGGTCTTTTTAATTATTTTGTCTTGGAATTGATGTGTAGGGTTATCAGCTGCTGTGTTATATCTGTGCTGGAATATAAGACGTGTGGATTTGAGAGGGAGGTGTTTGGGGTCGGGGCTGGAGGCAGAAGGCTGCGTTTTGCTTTGGATGAAAGAATAGAAAGATAAGAAAGCGAGATCTATTCTCTGATTTTTCTCAGGGAGCATGCGTTGAGCAGAGAGAAAACCTAAAGGAGGCAACAAACTGAACACCCTGTTTCAGCCAACTTTGTCCCAAATCCCCGCCTTTTTTTATTTGTTGCTATCATTGTATTTTCCTACTGTAGCGCCATGTGAAAAGACACCATCGGGTGCTTCGCTGACGGAGAGGTCTTCGATCAGACCCAGTTACCAATCCCCACACGCAAACCCAAACTCTTCTCAGATGATAACTGTGATTTCCTTTTACCTCCCTAAATCCCCATCCAGCCAACTTTGCATGGACAGCTGAGCGAGGCAATCCGCATATCTTTTCAGATTTTACACTTTATTTTAAGTGATTTTACACTGTTATTAGATGGGTTGCATTTGAATGTGAGGATTTGTTTTTTACACCAAAAGTTTAGAGGGACAGATATATTGAGAGGATTTTAAAGGGATAAGAGACACTTAGAAGTTTATCTAACTAAAAGTGGTGTATGTAAAAAAAAAAAAATAAATAAACCAGCTTCTGTTTTTGCACATATAGATGCAGGTCACTGAACAGCCCACATCTCTGTGGGTGGGCATGCATTTCTGCTTCTCTTTTCTTTTCATCTCCCCACATTACACTCCAAAAAAAGAAACAAAAAGTATATATGATTCGTGATAATGGCTATGATGTACCAATGACGTGTTTGCAATGCATATGTATTATGTAGACACTGGAAAAAAGAGTGATGAGGTTTAACTTTGTTGTTCTTACAATGATTACTAATATTCTTTTGGTATCATTCCTACTGGTCAGTGTGTGTGTGTGTGTGTGTGTGTGTGTGTGTGTGTGTGTGTGTGTG